CATCAACCACCACCGGCCCCATCGTCGACTCATCATCGCCGCCGGCCCTGTCCATCGTCCTTGGACGCCCCCCTTGGCCACTCAACTCTGGGCCGCTTCAATCGCCCATCGTCAGCACCATCCGCCGACGCACGCCCTCGCCACGCACGCACGCACGCACGCCCGCCTCGACACCCGCACATGGTCGCCTAGGCGGCGCGCGCGCACCCGCCCTCTCCCTCCCGCGAGGACGGCCTCAAAGACAGAATAGAATAGACGGGCAGCACCATGGACGGCTTCCGCTCGACGGTGCTGCAGCGGCCGCGCGACGACGACGCCGGCGACCGCGAGCGAGAGCGGGAGCGAGATCGTGAGCGTGAAAGAGAGCGCGACCGCGACCGCGACCGTGAAAGAGAGCGCGACCGCGACCGCCAATACCAGCGGCACGACGCAGGAGGCAGCCCCAGCGCGGGCCGGCAGCCTCACGGGTCGTCAGCCTTTTCCCTGCGCTCGCCGCCCTCGCGCACGCTGCCTCCCTTTGCAGCGTCGGCCTCGCCCAACGGAAGCGGCAACGCCAGCGCAAACACAAACACCACCACCACCAACACCAACGGCCACCGCGGCCAGAGCCATCAATCGCCGCCGCGCGCCCTGCACGGCAGCGGCAGCAGCCACAGCCAGAGCCCTTACATGGCGCCCGCGAGCCACTCGCTGCCGCCTCCGGGCACGCCTTCCAGCTCGCACCACCACCAAGGCTCCTCGCACCAGCAGCATCAGCATCAGCATCCGCGTCAGCCCATGTCGCCGCCTCGCCCGGCCTCCTACTACCCTCCCGCGTCCGCAGCCGCCCGCGACAAGCCCGCGTCGGGCAGCTTCTACGACCCCACGACCGACACCACCAAGGCTGTCTCTTATACACATCTAGATGTGTATAAGAGACAGCCTACTACCCTCCCGCGTCCGCAGCCGCCCGCGACAAGCCCGCGTCGGGCAGCTTCTACGACCCCACGACCGACACCACCAAGGAGCGCGGCGTCTCAGATTCGTCCAGCTGGCACGGGGCCACCACGCCAAAGGTAGGCTCGCCCCAAATCCACTTTGACTCGTGCACTGTGCACCTGGCAAAACTCCCGTCGTCCGCGAATTTCCATCCACGCATCAATCCACACCTCAATCCTCCATCGCCGTCAATCCATCCGCCGACCGCCGCTGACCATCTCCCCCAGACCCGCGACCCCTACCCCTACTCGCAGGACCAGTACTACAACGGTCGGGCCTCGTACAACCGGGCCCGGAGCCCGCTCTCCCACGCGCACCCGCTCGCCGGCTCCCACAGCCCGCCCGCCCAGATGGCTCTGGGTGCGAATGGCGTGGCCAAGGAGCCCGCCGCCTCGCCCAAGCCCACCAGCGTACGTCCCTGCCTGCGTGCCTGCATCTCCCATCCCTGCGTGTCGGCCAACGTGCCGGCGTGCGTGCCTGCATCATCAATTCCGCCCTTCTCCAAACGCCGCCCTTTGCTAACACGAACAATGCAGACGCCCAGCCGCGCGGACCCCATGTCCTTTTCCAACATCCTCTCGAGCTCCGAGCCGCCTAAAGAAAAGAAGCAGCCGCCCGCCGATGCCACCCCCAAGCCCCCGGCCGCCGACCCGGAACCCAAGGTCGAGCCAGAGGCCGACGCCATCGAGCCCGATGCGGAGCCTGAGGCCACCGAGGTCGAGGTTGACGAAGCCGAGACAGAGATCGAGCCGGAGCCGGAACCGGAACCTGAGCAGCTGCCCGCTAGGCGCGACGTGAAGAAGAAGCAGCCTCGCCGGTCCAAGGGCCGGGCCTCCGACATCCGCGACGCCGAGGCCCCCAAGCGGCGGCGGAGGTCGTCCCTTAAGAAGGAGTCGCCCGCCCCCTCGCGGTCGTCGTCGAAGCGCCAGGCCAATGGCCAACCCAAGGCCGCCGCCGCGCCCCGGACGTGGTCGACGGAGATGGAGAAGAAGATTCAAAACGCCGAGATGCAAATCGACAGCGACGCGCCCAAGCTCGACGCCGACGAGTTCGACGAGCACGACTACAAGGAGCGCGCCAGCAAGCGGCGGCGCGTCATGACGGACCTGGACGAGGACCGCAACCGCATTCGCCGCGAGGACTACGCCAAGGTGGCCGGCAAGCGGCTCGTGAACCACGCCGAGCTCGGCAAGCGGCGTTACGACGAGGTCTTTTACGACGAGGCCCTACACGAGGTCCGCGAGCAGGAGCTCTACGCCGAGAAGGAGCGCAAAAAGGACATGCAGCGCAAGCGACGCCGCGAAAAGTCCATGGCCGTCACCATCGAGCAAAAGGAGGCGGCCCTCGCCCGCGCCGAGGCTGCCGAGGACGAGGCCGAGCGTCAGAAGCACCTTCGCGACGCGGCTCGCGCTGATAAGAAGGCTGAGCAGACTAAGCTCATCCTCGAAAAGGGCATTAAGGGTCCCGCCCGCAACCTCGACCTCATCGACGGCGGCGCCAACTCGAGCTTCCTCGCGTCCGACGCCGAGACGCCCAAGTCCAAGAAGAAGGGCGCCCGCCCCAAAAAGTCCAAGGAGCAGAAGCAGGCGGAGAAGGACTCGGCCGAGGCCGCCCAGGCCGCCCTCGACGCCGGCAAGGAGCTGCCGCCCAAGGAGGAGGGTGGCAAGGTGCGCATCAAGATCAAGGGCCGCTCCCGCGGCGGCGACAAGGAAAAGAAGGAGGCGCCGCCCGTCGAAAAGGACCCCGAGCAGGAGAAGCGCGACGAGGCCGCCGAGCTCGAGAAGAAATTCACCTCCAAGGGCTACAACCAAATCTACGAACAGATCTGGCGCGACATGGCCCGCAAGGACGTCAACAAGACATTCAAGCTGGCCGTCGACTCGTACGCCACCAAGGGGTCCAACCTCAAGAAGACGGCCATCCTCGCGTCCAAGGAGGCCAAGCGCTGGCAGCTGCGCACCAACAAGGGCACCAAGGACCTGCAGGCCCGCGCCAAGCGTGTCATGCGCGACATGATGGGCTTTTGGAAGCGCAACGAGCGTGAAGAGCGCGACCTGCGCAAGGCGGCCGAGAAGCAGGAGATTGAAAATGCCCGCCGCGAGGAGGCCGAGCGCGAGGCCGCCCGCCAGAAGCGCAAGCTCAATTTCCTCATCTCTCAGACAGAGTTGTACTCGCATTTCATTGGGAAGAAGATCAAGACGGACGAGGTGGAACGCAGCACCGACCATCCCGACGAGGCGCCCGAGGCGCCGCGAGCCCAGGGCCTCAACGTCTCGGAGCCCACGGGTCCTGTCGGCGGCAAGGTCACCGACTTTGAGAACCTCGACTTTGACAACGACGACGAGAGCCAGCTGCAGGCGGCGGCCATGGCCAACGCCCAAAACGCCATCGCCGAGGCGCAGAAGAAGGCGCGCGACTTTAACAACCAGGGGCTCGACATGGACGAGGAGGGCGAGATGAACTTTCAGAACCCCACTGGCCTCGGCGACGTCGAGATCGAGCAGCCCAAGCTCCTCAACGCCCAGCTCAAGGAGTACCAGCTCAAGGGCCTCAACTGGCTTGTCAACCTATACGAGCAGGGCATCAACGGCATCCTCGCCGACGAGATGGGTCTCGGCAAGACGGTCCAGTCCATCTCCGTCATGGCGTACCTGGCCGAGAAGCACGACATCTGGGGCCCGTTCCTCGTCGTCGCGCCCGCCTCGACCCTGCACAACTGGCAGCAAGAAATCGCCAAGTTTGTGCCCGAGTTCAAGATCCTGCCGTACTGGGGCAGCGCCGGCGACCGCAAGGTGCTGCGCAAGTTTTGGGACCGCAAGCACTCGACCTACCGCAAGGACGCCGCGTTCCACGTCTGCGTCACGTCGTACCAGCTCGTCGTCTCCGACGTCGCCTACTTCCAGAAAATGCGCTGGCAGTACATGATCCTCGACGAGGCGCAGGCCATCAAGAGCTCCTCGTCGTCGCGCTGGAAGTCGCTGCTCGGCTTCCACTGCCGCAACCGCCTGCTGCTCACCGGCACGCCCATCCAGAACAACATGCAGGAGCTGTGGGCGCTGCTGCACTTTATCATGCCGTCGCTCTTTGACTCGCACGACGAGTTCAGCGAGTGGTTCTCCAAGGACATTGAGTCGCACGCCCAGAGCAACACCAAGCTCAACGAGGATCAGCTCAAGCGTCTGCACATGATCCTCAAGCCGTTCATGCTGCGCCGTGTGAAGAAGCACGTGCAAAAGGAGCTCGGCGACAAGATCGAGCTTGACGTCTTCTGCAACCTGACGTACCGCCAGCGCGCCTACTACAGCAACCTGCGCAACCAGATTAACATCATGGACCTCGTCGAAAAGGCTACCATGGGCGACGACCAGGACTCGGGCACCCTCATGAACCTTGTCATGCAGTTCCGCAAGGTCTGCAACCACCCGGACCTGTTTGAGCGCGCCGAGGTCACGAGCCCCTTTTCCTTTGGCTACTTTGCCGAGACGGCGTCGTTTGTGCGCGAGGGCAACAACGTACCCGTCGGCTACTCGACGCGGAACCTCATCAACTACGAGCTGCCGTCGCTGGTGTGGGCGCGGGACGGCCGGCTGGACAAGGCTGGCCACGACAACGCCCGTGCCGGCTGGCGCGGCAAGGCCCTGGGACACATGATGAACATTTACACGCCTGACAACGCACGCGACAGTCTCGGCGGCACCGATGCCTTTTCGTGGCTGCGCTTCGCCGACGCCAGCCTCGGCGACGTCTATCGAGCAACACACACCAGCCTGTTTGCGCGCGCCGTGGACGAGCTGCAGAAGCCGAACCGACTCGCACACATGGACGTCGCGTACGAGGACGACGGCGGCTGGGTGCCCGCGCACGCCATGCTCAAGGTGCGCCCGCGCGCGAGCCGCGCCGCCGCCCTGGCCGCTGCCACCACCGAAGGCGTGCTGGGCAGGCTCATGAACGTCGCCCGCGACGACTACGCCGACTCGGGGCTCGGCCGCCTCGAGATCGCCGGTCGCCCGCGCGCGTCGGCGCCGCCCGTCGACGTGTCGTGCAACAGCGCGAGCGCCGTCAACGAGCGCAACGGCACCCTCTTCAACGTGGGCATGCGCCGGGCGCTCTACGGACCGGCCAGGCACGAGGAGAGGACGCTCGTCCAGGGCAAGGTGCCGCTCGAGCTGTGGCCCGCCAAGGCCGCGCTGCCGCCGCCCGACGGCGAGAAGCGCCGCTTCACCAACATTAGCGTGCCGTCGATGCGGCGCTTCGTCACCGACAGTGGCAAGCTGGCCAAGCTCGACGAGCTGCTCTTCAAGCTCAAGGCCGAGGGCCACCGCGTGCTGCTCTACTTCCAGATGACGCGCATGATCGACATGATGGAGGAGTACCTGACGTACCGCAACTTCAAGTACTGCCGGCTGGACGGCTCGACCAAGCTCGAGGACCGCCGCGACACGGTGCACGACTTCCAGACGCGGCCCGAGATTTTTATCTTTTTGCTGTCGACGCGCGCCGGTGGTCTTGGCATCAACCTGACGTCAGCCGACACGGTCATCTTTTACGACTCGGATTGGAACCCGACCATCGACTCGCAGGCAATGGACCGCGCCCATCGCCTCGGCCAGACGAAGCAGGTGACGGTGTACCGCCTCATCACGCGTGGCACCATCGAGGAGCGTATCCGCAAGCGCGCTCTGCAGAAGGAGGAGGTGCAGCGCGTCGTCATCCAGGGCGGCGGCGCCAGCGTCGACTTTTCAGGCCGCCGCGCTCCCGAGAACCGCAACAGGGACATCGCCATGTGGCTCGCCGACGACGAGCAGGCCGAGATGATTGAGCGCCGTGAGAAGGAGCTGCTCGAGTCAGGCGAGCTCGACAAGCGCAAGAAGGGCGGACGGCGCAAGAAGGCCGAAGGCACCGCCAGCCTCGATGATTTGTACCATGAGGGTAAGCATCCACTCTCCCCTACTCACTGGCTCCCGCTGACTCCTCCCGCAGGCGAAGGAAACTTTGACGACGGCAGCAAGGGGGCGGCCTCGGGGGCGGCGACGCCCGTCGAGAGCGAAAAGGGCAAGAAAAAGGCCAAGGGCAAGCGGGCCAAGACGGCCAAGCAGCGCCTGGCCATTGCCGATGGCATGGTGGACTATTGATATCGATGTACTATATAGAGCTTTGCTACAGGAATTGAGGCGTTTGGCATGTCCAGCACGAGTACGCGGGAGCCCCCAGCAACCAGACGACCTGGTTGCTGTTTGTTCATTTCGGCCTGAGGCACCTGGCTGGCGACGGTGGACGTGTTCAGAGTGCGCGCAGCTGGCAGGGGGTGCGCGCAGCTGCCCGGCAACGGCCGCGGGCCAGGCGCCCTTGAACAGGTATAAATTGTCTCCCTGCCGCCGCCGCGTTCTCTTTGTTTTTCTCCTTTCACCTCACGCGTCCTCTCGCCCTCTTGCAAATCCCGCAAGTGTGCTCAGGTCCCGTCCCCACCATCCGCTTCCATCATCGCATCCATCAACACCACCCTGCCCGTCAGGGGTAACACATCTCAACATCAGCCAAGTCACCTGCAAGCTTCGTGTGTCATTCAAAGAGCGTTGTTTGTGCGTCTGGATTGCTTCTGTCGTTCCGGCAGCTTTACCTTTTCGCGTAACGCGTAACCATATTCACCCCCCGCCGTGCGGCATCTCGTGGCTGTTGTGCCGTCGTTGAACGAGTGAGTGAGCCGAGCCGCCATTCAACCTGAGCATCACGCTGACTTGCCTTCTAGACGCATCTTCGCATCGGAACGCGACGTAAGCGCATCAAGATACTTTACTGCGCCCGGAAGCATCTTGTGGCTCAGGCCATCAACGAGTGAGCATGCCTTCCTTTGCCTTGAGCACGGCGCTGACCAGCTTCCAGACTTCGTACCGCTGTCACCAGACAAGCGTCATCAGACTATCCAAGCAAACGCGTCAAGAAATTTTATTCGCCCTGAAGCATTTTGTGGCTCGTGCCATCAACGAGTGAGTATGCCTTCCTTTGCATCGAGCAAGGTGCTGACCAGCTTCCAGACTTCCACGCACCACTGTCATCAGGCAATCTAAGCAAACGCGTCCAACCAGCTTCAGACCTCTTCGCGCCACTGTCACTGACAAGCTAAGGAAACGCGTCAAGCAACTTCATTAGCCCTGAAGCACTTTGTGGCTCGTGCTATCAACGAGTGAGTATTCCTTCTTTGCCTCGAGTACGGCGCTGACCAGCTTCCAGACTTCCACGCACTATTGTCATCAGACAAACTGAGCAAACGCGTCCAGCCAGCTCCATACTTTCTTACACCGCTGTCACCAGACAAGCTAAGCAAACGCGTCAAGTACCTTCATTCGCCCTGAAGCATCTTGTGGCTCGTGCCATCAACAAGTGAGTATGCCTTCTTTGCCTCGGGTACAGCGCTAACCAGCTTCTAGACTTCCACGCACGGCTGTCATCAGACTTTCTAAGCAAACGCGTCCAACCATTTCCATACTTTCTTACCGCTGTCACCAGACAAGCTAAGCAAACGCATCAGACTCAATCGTCAAAATGGCAGCTGATCCTTACGACCAAGATCTTTACTACTCCGACGCCGGTGGCGGCCAGTGCCTCGAGCCTTGCTGCTCCGCGTACCTCCACGATTTTGGACTCGAAAGCAGCTACCAGGATCACATCAACCACAAGTGGCACCTCGCCGCCAAGGCTGCCGGCAGAGATCTCCTGGCCATGGACCTCTCGGACGAGGAGCTCGAGCAACGACGCCTTGCCCTCCGCGAGCTCCGCTGCGACGAGTCGCACTGCCCTCTCTACGGACGCGTCATGCCTGGCGGCCACGGTGCCTTTTACGGCCACCGTGAGTCGGCCGCACACCTGGGCATCGTCGTGGACACGAACAACCCGCCCCCTTGGCGCTGCGAGGTGCCGGCGTGCTAGCTGCACGGCCGCTACTTCATCAGCCAGAGGAACTGGGAGACCCACGAGGTCTCGGAGTGCCACGTCAACGCCCTCAGGATCCAGGTGGCGCGCAACCTGCGCGGGCAGAGGCCCCTGCCCCCGACCACGGCGGCCACGCGCAACGGCCGACGCCGGATGCGCCCCAGGGGTCTGACCGCGCGCGAGGCGGCGTCGCTCTATCTCGGCGCCACGGACTGGACGGCGCCCGCTCCTCCTCCTCCGCCTCCCACCAACCAGCCCACTCAGGCTGAAGGCTCGGGCGAGAATTGCCCGGAGGTTGTGGGGTATGTTCGCGCTCCGCCGCCGCACGGCTACGGCCCGCCCGGCCTGTTCTGAATAATCCGTGTATTGACCAACGCAGGGAGCCGAGTGGCCGGCCTCGGACCGAGGTGGTCCTGGAGATACAGATGTTTGTGGAGAGACAGGGCGGCGTGAGGGCGTGGCCCAGGATTCGGGACGAGTTTGGCCTGTGACTGGGGGGTGCTGGGAGGAACCTTTGTTAGGACTAATACGTGTTTTATTTGAATCGTAAACAAGTTGAAGGGATGTTCGAGTTTTTTGTTAGAGTAGATGAGAAGTGTCTAAGGGAGACAAGGGCCTGGAGGGCGACAAGAGTCTACCCAAGGATAGGCCCTAGGACACGACGGCAGCGGGAGCAAGTGCTTCTGCAGACGTTGTGTGCGGTTACGCGGGCTGGGACACGGAAGCACTGAGGCTGACGACTCGGATCGTGCCGAGTCACGACATGGGGCGGTCGCTTGGCGACGCCGGCTCCGTCGAGCTATGTCCACAGGCCGGTCGAGCAGCCGACAGCTAGTACGTACCAGGGTCGTGAGGTTCGTCTTAACATCACTTATTGTGGGCATGTTTCGGGCTACAGACGTGGGAGAATGCGGGCTCGCTACACGACTACGCTCGATGATGTTGTCAAGTCTTTGGCCAAGCGTTCAAGGCGGTCTGCGGTCAGAGTAGCTCCTACACAACCACGATTGGCGGCCATCGAGGACTGACCACCAAATTATCTGCAGCCACATCAGCATCGAAGCGAGCTCACGGACATAGCAGAGGCAGCACAGGCACTCGACAAGCAGCCATGACGCTGCTGCCAAGGCTCCTCGGAGATTGTCAAGAATGACACGCAGCCACATCGGCGGCGACGCGACGCGGCCAGCTCAGCGGGCACGGGCAAGCCTCGCGGGGCGGCCCGTCCGAGACAGGCCCACGGTCCGGCACGTTGCACAACGTCGAGTGGCACCGCACGCGGAGATGTCCTCCCGTTAGGAGCGAGCGTCGGCGGAGACGAGAGATCAAATAGCGAACGAGGCACGACGGACAGGCGAGAGGGGGCACGGGGCGGCGGGCTCGCAACGGGTTCGATCACGTCGCCAGATGTGGTCTGATGCGAGCGAGGCAAGACTCCTAACAGCCGCCGGGTGTCCCATGGCTCTCGCCACCTGCGGGCTCCCCGACGACATCGCTGCGGGCGCGCGATGCCGTCACATGCGTTCCCCGAGCGACAGACGCACGACTCGGGCGGGTGCAGCGGCATGCGCGTGTTCGAACCCTGGCGGCGGGGCGTCGCATCGAGGGGCATCCCGATGCTCGACCACGATGCCCGCATACCCGCCCGGAGGGTGGCGACGCGCGCCGGATGGACGTCCAGCTCGCCACGGGACCGCTCGTGATGAGCTTGTTGTGTGTGCGCGCGAGCCTGCATCGCGGTGGACGACGTGTCAGCGCGAGTCGCGGATCCTGGGTCGGGGGAGCCAGAGTTGGCGGTCTGCATGCAGCGGCGAGCGAGCGCGCGCAGACATGAGGCTTGCAGGACTGCGGTCCAAGCGCGTGTAACGTCTTCAAGGCGGTGTTTGAGTGCCGCATCTGATAAAGAGGTCGGTTGTCCATGGCGAGGCAGGCGCGACCAACTCCGCGCACCAGACCGACTTACAGGCGGTGAGAGAAAATTCTGGTGGCGCCTCATCCCCGACCACAAGCCCTCTCTTCACCTCGACACAACTCGCCATGCGGCGGCCCGGCTTCCTCGCGCTGCACGGTAAGTGTTCCCCTGCGATGGACGAGCCCGGCTGACCGACCCAGGCGCGTACATTGTCGTGATGGGCCTGTTGTCGCTGCCGGTGCTGTACCCGCTCGGCAACCTGGCCGCCGTGGACGCCTACTTTATGGGCTGCAGCGCGTCGACCGAGTCTGGGCTCAACACGTAACTCACCTGCCTTGATGCCCTGTTGAGCATGGCTGACCCGAACTTGCAGGGTCGACCTCGGGCCGCTCGCGTTGTATCAGCAGCTGTACCTCTACTTTGTGCCGATGCTGACGAGCCCCTGCTTCGTCAACATTGTTGTCGTGCTGCTGCGGCTCCGCTGGTTCGACAGACGCATAGACGAGGTAGAGGGCTGCGATGGCGAGCAGGGGCTTGCGGCTCCCGTTGCTGAGACGGTCGAGCCCAAGGTGCAGGCCGAGCTCCTCTGTTGTGACATGGGGCGAGATCGGTCGCAGCAGCGCAGGCTCACGGGCACACAACGACAAGACATGGGCGGAGACGAGTATCGCGCCCTCAAGCTCCTACTACCCATCGTCACAGGTAGGTTTCGTCGCTCGCATGCCCGGCGCTGCTGACCGCGGCAGTGTACTTTTTCGGCCTCCACCTGCTCGGTGGCTCTGCGCTCGCGATATGGGCGCGCTTCGCAGACGTCAAGTACACGGGGTACCTCGACGAGCTCGGCCTGAACCGCACGTGGTGGTGAGTATCTGTGTTCCTGAGCATAAACGACCGCTGACACCGATGTCAGGGCCTTTTACACCACGCAGTCGCTCATGGACAACCTCGGCTTCACGCTCACTCCCGACGCTATGGTGCGCTTCCGCGATGCCGTCTTCCCGCTGCTGCTGCTCACCGTGCTCGCCCTGGCCGGCGAGACGCTGTACCCGGTGCTCCTCCGCTTCTCCATCTGGGCTGCGTCCCGCGTGGCTCCTTCACGGCTGCGCGGGCCGCTGCGGTATCTGCTCGACCACCCGCGGCGCTGCTACACGCTGCTCTTCCCCGGCGGTACCACCTGGGTCATCCTGACCATCGCCGCGGCCCTCAATCTCGGCGTCGCGCTGCTCATAGTTGTGCTGGACCTCCACTCCGCCGAGGTGGCAGGCCTGGCCCCCGCGAACCGCTTCATCGCGGCGTTGTTCCAGGCGGCGGCGGCGCGGCACGCGGGGACCACGCCTTATAACCTGGCCAACGTGAGTCCGGCGACGCAGTTTGCCCTGCTCGTCATGATGTACATTTCCGTGTACCCCGTGGCGGTAGGTGTGCGCGCCGCCGCAGACGCACCGTATCGGGAGCGCAGCGTCGGGATATTCGCCAGCGAGCCCAGGTATGACGAGAGCCGCGCCGGGGCGTACCTCACCCGCCTCATGCGGCAGCAGCTGTCCTGCGATCTGTGGTGGATCTTTCTCGGCATCTTTCTGCTGGCCGTGACGGAGGGGAGAAACGTGGCCGACGTGAACGAGCCGGTAGGTTTGTGTGAAGCGGCAGCGCCAGAGCAAAGCTGACCAACCACGCAGGCCATCAAGATATTCCCCATCTTCTTTGAAGTCGTCTCCGCCTAGTAAGTCTGCCGCTCCCTCGTCTGGAGCGAGCGCTGACTGCCCAGCTGCAACGTCGGCATCAGCCTCGGCCACCCCAGCGTGTCGAGCTCGCTGAGCACAAAGTTCTCCGTCACGGGCAAGCTCGTCATCTGCGCCATGATGATCCGCGGCCGGCACCGCGGGATGCCTTACAGACTCGACCGAGCGGTGGTGCTGTCCGGCGAGCGGGAGCGGGAGGAACCGAAGGTCGAACCGCCCACCGCCCGGCACATGCCTCTGCTGGGAGCAGCACTGGTGGAGACGAGCCAGAGCGGAAATCACTGGTGAGCGATTGACGATATAGACACGCCTGTCGAGTACATACGAGCAGTTCACGATGCGACGCAAGTCATGATCCCGGGCTAGCTCGGGCGTCAGAACAAGCCCACGCCGGCAAGGGGGAGGACCCGTCGGTCCCAGCAATCTGGGCGGCAGGGGCCGCGCACGGGGCCGCGGGCTTGAGCAAGGGTTCGGGGGAGCACTTGGACGTTGGGCATCAACCTCAGGGGCACAATATCGAAGAGCAGCGCGTCTCAGTCGTCTCCGGGGCGCTGACATGCACAGACACCGCCAAGCTTCCTGGCCAAGCTTCTGCATTACCAGGGCAATGGGTCACGACCGTTCAGTCGGCCCGTTGCTGGGACGAGCTCTGAAAAGCCTACTCTGCCCCGTCTCATCAGGCCATCGCACACCTGAAGCAGAAGCAGACCCTTGAGCGCCTACGGAGAACAAGCGCTCGCCTTTCGGAGTTGCTGACGATCCCTGGACTCCCTTCCATCACGAGCAAGGGTCGGGCATCGTCGGCCAAGTCCGGCGTGGGCGCCGCGGTTGACCGAGGCCCCTGTTGACGGTTGACCGAGAGGCACGGGCTACGGAGACTGGAGCTCCGTCCCCTGTAACCGGACCGGGGTCTGGCACGAGGCGAGGTCACGGCGGCCCGGACACTGCCAGGAGCCAGGACCCTGCAGCGCAACGTCGCAGCCGCGGATGCGTCCATGGCACCAGCGCACGTGTCGCGAGCATCTGGCTGCCAGATTGGGAAGCTGGCAAACGGTGAACGACGTCCAAGACGGTGGATTAGCAACATCGAATAAATCGAATAAATTAGAAAGCCGGCTCGTAAGCTTTTGCTCAGCACGAGGGTTTGCCAATAGCCCTTGTCTAACTGGCCACTCGATGACGTGGAGGGGTGCACCGCTGAGAGGCGCGGGGTCTTTCCGGCAGGCATACTTATGAGAGACTGGAGCTGTCATCGAAGGCGGCCCTAGAGCCTCTTTCCACGACGATGGTGTCGTGTTGTTTTGCCACGACCTCCGGGTGCGTCGTCGTGTCGCGGCTGCAAAGCATCATGTTGCCAGTGTCGTCGGGCATGAAAGGCAGGCGATACATCCTCCGTGCTGTACCAAGTACATGATGCTGGCATGACGGGACAAGCCGGCATCGACGCACGCCCTGGATGAGTTTTGAGCCGGCGCGTACATACACCACGGTACTGCGGTCACACGCTTGCAGACGATACATCGAGGCGTGCGTCCGCCACGCAGCATCAACAGAGGCTCGCGCACACCCGCCCCCACGATCGACGCCCACGATCTGATGCAACGACGAAATGCCGCTGCGCCGGAGTGGCACCCCGAGCGAACGCACCTCCAAGCTTCCGCCAGCCCGGAAGGCTGGCCGCACGAGACTGTAACGCGGGGGTGGGGGGAAGAGCCCCAAACTCTGCGGCCACCACCACCACAGCGCCCCCGTCTTGTGACGCCGGGTCAGCACGCAGGGCAAGAAGGTAGCACCCAGCTGCTCAGGGCCGCCCGACGCATTTCCGGCAGCCCGGTTCGGGGCCGGGGTGGCATTCTGCCCGCGCGGCCGGCGCGTCACATGAAGGGACGCTCGACCTATTTGCTCCAGCTGCGCGGTGCCTTGGCTGCTCATTTCGCGTTTGCGTTGTGCCGCGTTGCGTTGGGTGCGGCTGGTCCTGGGCGAGCCCGGACCCTTCACATGTCGGAGCCAAACGACTGCCAGCTGCCATCCAAGTCCGATAGCGGCCGTCATTTTCGACGTGGGTGAATTCAGTCTGGCATGTGCACCTCATCAGAAGCGCGAACCGCCAACCGCGCCAGCGAACCGGCGGCCAGCCATCGGCGACTGCGGTGAGGGTGGTGGGCCTGTGTACGCCTGTTCTCGCCTGGGCCGCCAGCCTGCCCATTCACGATGCGTCTCGCGGCACAGCTTGCAAGAGGGTGGCTTCGTCACCAAGTCAAGCTCGTGTGGCCCCCCGAGCAAGTCGGAAGCCCCCGAGCGTTCAGGCGTTCAAGGCCCCGCCACGGCCGCCTAGGCCGCCGGCGAGCTATGCGCTTGGATCGCCCTCCCCGGGCAACATGGAAGCCACGCGGGGAGCGGTGACGGCGACGGCGAGGGGTCCCATTGGGCCGCCTGGTGTCGTCTGTGGCGCAACAATACGAGTACGCGGAGGGGTGTGGCGGCGACAATGCCGTGAGCCAGGCGTGCGGTGCGGTGCGGCGTCGCTACGCGGAAAGCCTCCCAGGCGGCGGCCTCATACTTTGTGCGGAACCGCCTGCCCGTTGTAGTATTTCCGAGTTTGGGCACGGGTCCGGGGTGCGCTCAGGCTTGGAGGCGTGAGGATGCCAGGAAGGCGAGTTCATGGCTTTATGGAAGTACACGAAGGGCACATGAGAGGCAACAGGCACGAGAGGCGAAAGAGGGCGAGCAGGAGAGGCGGGAAAAGAGCAAGCATGCCTGGCAGTCAGATCGTGTCCGTGTTCGAGGGCAGCACCTCGTGTCGCCAGCGCCGCGGCGGCACAGCGCACCGCAAGCTCCGCTGACGGCGCCAATAGCCGACCGGAACAGCGCGGACGACCCTCTGTGCATCGCGTATCGACCGGGTCAGGAAGGTTGAGCAGAGGCTGGCGTTGGCGTGCTGGAAATCCAGTGCAGTGCAGGTGACTTGCTGCTGGCTTGGCTCGGCTCCCTCCTGGCCCGAAAAGAAACTAGCGGCCGTTGAAGAAATAATAAAAAAGGGGGGGGGCATTTAATCGCAGGAATAAAAAGAAATGGCGGGGGTGGGGCGGCCTGTGCGTGCTCTGTGTGGGGCTTGTGGTGAAGGCCTGCTGACTGACTCCTGCCTCCCTGTGAAGCCTCTAGGTGCCTCCTGGGACTGGCTTGGCCGGGGGCGCTGAACCTGCCAAAAGGAGAACTGCTTTTTCGGGCATTTGCCCGCTTCCCCGAAGGCTGGGTGGCCCCACCACTTCCAGCCGCGGGACCAATCGCCGTGCGACCGAGAATTGCGGGTCCGCACCCTCCCCAGTCCCTCTCATGGAAGCCTTCCAGAAGTCTTCTCCCGCACGTGGGAAGCCTGCCGCCACTCACGTCGAGCGCCCCCCGGGCTGGTGCTGCTGCTGGCCGTTGGCCGTTCGGGTAACCTTGTGACGGAGATGAAGGGGGGAGGGAGCGAGTAAGCAACCTGGCGCACCGCGCACGCAAGAGCGTCCGTCGTGCGGGATTGACTGCCCAGCTTGGACAGACGGATGGACGGACGGATGGATGGATGCCCTGGCTGCGCTGGCCGCGCTGGCTGGGGGATGGGAGTGATGGGCTGGCCCGGTTCGGTAACACAACCAAAAACCATGCGCGCGAGTGTGTGCCTCTGTGTGTGTGTGTGTGTGATTGCCGAGGCGCGTGGCAACAGGACATGCCGAGGGGCGTTGCAACGCGGTACGCTATGGACGCTGCATGGAAACGCACAGCACGCAGTAGAGGCCACCGTCATGTTCGACGACCTGCCTCGTGCATTATTACGAAGCACCAGCGGCGGCTTCCAGGCACGAAGTTTACGTGTCCGGCGCGCTGTGCTCCGAGTGGCCATGCCCTGCAAGAGCACCGCCCTGCCGCTCCCGCCCTTCCGCCAGTCGCTAGCCGGGTAATTCAAACTCCCCTCGCAAGCGCCGCAGGGTCAATCGCCAACGGGCCGAAGTGCCTTGCGCGCTGCTGCTCGTCAGGGAAAAAACGCTGTCGGGCCGGGCAGCCCCCCCAATCCCCCCAGGCTCTCCAAGGGGCTGCGTAGGCGATGGATGCGTGACTCGGCGCGACGGAATCCTTTGGCGGGCAGTGGACGCCTCGTTGGCCTGCGTTTCGTCCTCCTCCACACACGCACCACATGGCTGGATGGCACAGCGCACCCGGCACCCGCACCGCCGTCTCCAGGGACGTTGCCTGCCCTGCCATCCACCACGGCGAGGATCCAAATCCCCTTCCCCCCAAGCCTGCCTGCAAGCCAGCAAGCCCGGCGTTCGTCCGGCGTCCGCCCCTCCACCGCCCAGTGACAACCACCACCACCACCACCACTGCACGCCGTCCACCCACAGCCAAGGCCCTGCCAGCGGTCTCTCCGCCCCCGGATTATGACGTACCTCACCTCTGCAGGCGAGCAAGTCGAAATCTCGATGCCACCGCTTGATCGTCCCCCATTGTTCGCCCTCTGCGAACCGCACCCCCGTGCTGCTACTTGGTTCCTGTCCGCGTCCCGTCCCCATGGCCTCGTCACAGGGTGGAAGCGCGATGCGATGCGATCGCAGCCTTGCATCATAGTCGCGTCCCGCCCGCGTGTCCGCGGCGCTGGCTGGGCATCCGGTGCGCGGAGGCCGTGATCAACGGGGGTGGGTGACGGGAGCAGAGCAAGGGGCAGGGTGTGTGTGTGCATGCACATGAGCGACTCGAAAAGAATAATCAGAATTAAATCACGATCACCATCCTTGTATTTTTTCTTTCTCATGATTTAATCAATTTAATCATTCTCTCTTTTTTCGGCGCTCCTTTTCGCATTTCCCTGTAGTGGTGACTCGGCGGCAATTGGGTGGACGGGGGCGTCGCGGCGAGGTGCGGGACGCCATCGGCGCCGGGGCCCGACGGGGGCCGACGGGACCTGGGGACATGTTCGGGTCTCCTCCCTTGGGCAAGCTTTCCGCCAAAACGCCAGCGCCACACGGCACGCGAGGGAAAACAAACATGCGTGCATGCGTGCATGCGTGCGCCCGGCTATGACTCGGTGTGCGTGCGTGTGGTGCGGGTATTGCTCTTACCGAGGAGGCGGAACGGCAGTACTTGGCATGGCATGGCCCCCCTTCGTGGGGAACATCGGGACCTCTCCCCCAAGGGTCCTGGGGATGGGGGATGATGGATGGGGGCGCCGGGCGCCTGGGTCGTGGAAAAAGCGCGCGGGCGGCGGGGAACGGCGGACGTCGACGACGCTCACTGCCACACCCACTCACCCAGTCTGTCTGTCTGTCTGTCTTGCTGGACGGATGGATTCAGAAAGGATGCCATGCCCATGCCAAGCGAGCCCTTGCGAGTCGGCGGCTCATCCTTGACTCTCGGGGCAACTCCCGGAGCAACACGGCGCCACCAATCACCCACGGGAGCGCCCTCCCCTGGAAACCCCCCCTCGGGAACTGCAGCAGGAGTAGCAGCAGCAGGAGGAGCAGGAGGAGCGCCGAGATTCGCAGCGGCCGGAGGCTGGGCTGGGCAAGCTCAATCAGACGGCATCCAACACGTTTGCGTGTGTCGTTTCGCGCGCTAACAAGCTTATCGCTTCATCGCTCGCTGCAAGTGTGTGCGGCCGGGTGGCTTGCCGCGGAGACGGGAGCGCGAGAGAGAGGACTGGAAGCTGGCCGGCTTGCGGTTGCGTGCTTGGGGCCATGGCCGCGAAAAGTCCCGATGCCGGGGTCTTGAATGCCCGAAGGTGTTAGCGTCCCATTCCCATCCCAGTCTCCTGCTGCTGCGTCCTTGCGGTTCCGATCTGGACGAGTACGTACGGAGTACAACACTGTCCTGTTTTGCGGCCAGTTCCAGTAACGGATCCCCTAAGCCGTTTGACGCGGATGCGCGGGTCCTCGCCTGTGCCGGCGGCGGGGACTCGCGCGATCAAGGCTCTCCCCTGGCACCGCGGCGAGTGAGTGACAAACGACATGTGGGCACCATGACGATTGGACCCGCGGATACAGAAGCGAGGGCGCAGGTGAGCGTCCGGGAAACGACTCACCGGGCGGGCGTTGGAATAGCAAACAGGTATCGCGGTACAAGTGTCGGTCAGCCATCTAAGCAGGCAGGATATCATGCTGGCGTAGCATAGCCCGCAGCCTTGAACGCAAGGTGAGCCGCGCCGGCGAGAAGCCACTTCCGTCGCGCCGAAGCCGTCGTCGTCGTCGTCGTCGTCGTGGAATCATACAGGCGCCGGCATCAGCACTACCGAGCGTCGAACGCGGCCTGGAAGCTGCTCGGCCACGCGCGCCGAATTGTCCACCATTTGGCGGGCGTTGGACTGTCCGTCCGTCTGACAGCCCAGCCCGAGTGTGCATGCAAGCTGGGAATAATCGCAAGGCATTGATTCCCCCAGCATGCTCACGCACGCACGCACGCACGCATCCAGCACAGCATCGCCGCCGCCGCCGCCCGCCCGCCGCAACGGGCTACCCCGGGGTCCCGCATTCGGCTCCCGCATTCCGCGCCTCCGCAAAGTCTATCGCGGGGGNCTCCCACCACCCCCTTCCTCCCCTCTCCCCTGCGCACAGTCATCCGTTAAATAACAGGCGACTTAAAAAAAGGAGATAAATTAAAATACATCGTGTCGCGGCAAACACATAAGCTACCGTTGCGGGAGAAACTCAAACCATGGGCTGGCCGGCCGAGGGAAGGGGGGTGTGGAATGATTTGAAATGTCGACGGGTGCCTGGAAGCGGTGTTTTGCTTGATGGGCGGACTGGCGGCTCCGATGGCCCGAGCGAGCAATTCTCGCGGACTGGCCCAAGAGCTTGCCCGGATCCGAGGCTGCTGCTGTTGCTGCTGCCGCCGCTGTTGCTGCTCTACGGAAGCTCTGGGGGCACGGCCACGGCAGAGCATTCAAGGCGCCCCAACCTGGAAGTTATAGGCAGGGTTCCAGGGTCGTAATACAGCTGGCAAACCCGCCACGGATTTGCCATTCAATCAGCTGTCGACCCCACTGGGGCACGTCGTCGCCTGACTGCCAGAGCCAGACAGCAGGCAGACAGCCTGGCAGGGCGGGCGGCGCAGCGACCGAACCGACGGGACAGCTGAGAGCAACACCACCCGACCTCGCTGAGGCCACCGCGGGGGGGGAGGGATCACCCCTGCATCCACCTCCCCCCATCGTCCCACCTCCGGATCGCTGTGCTCCAGGCAATGCCCCTTCCGGCCTGTTTTCGCACCATGCCCCCCCCTTGGGCCTCGTGCACACCACCACCACCACCACCACCGTCGTCCATCCTGCCCCTCGATCCTGCGCGACAGAGCGTGGCCCCATCGGGCGATGATTCGAGAGGGGGGGAGAGCGCGCGCGCCGGTCGTCCGTCCGCGTGAGGTGCGAGCGAGCGAGCAAGTGCGGTGCAGGGACACGTCAACAAGCCCAACGGGGACGACGTCGACGACGGAGGGGAAGGTCGGTCACGCAGCACCACCACCACAGCCAGCCAGCCAAAGCCCGCCTCGGGAGTCGCGCGCGCGCGGGGAGGGGGAACAATAAACACACAGAATAGGAACCGGGGACGGGAGTGGTGTTTGTTATTGGGAGGAGGGGAGCAGGATGTGCAGCACCTGGTCTGTCTCTTATACACATCTAGATGTGTATAAGAGACAGGGGGAAGGTCGGTCACGCAGCACCACCACCACAGCCAGCCAGCCAAAGCCCGCCTCGGGAGTCGCGCGCGCGCGGGGAGGGGGAACAATAAACACACAGAATAGGAACCGGGGACGGGAGTGGTGTTTGTTATTGGGAGGAGGGGAGCAGGATGTGCAGCACCTGGTGACCCGTGATGACAAGGTGATGTCGCCGTGACGGCGGATGCGACGACGCAACGTGCGCCCATCGAATTGCATCTACGTACACCCGTACGGTGTTGTTGTTCCATGGCAGCAGTCGCGCGGTCTCCTGCACGAACACTGAGCGGCTCCCCCGTCCGTGCCGCCCGTCGTTCGATCGATCGCTGCGATGCGCTCGTACGTTTGCACACTCCAGTACAGCAGTACACACGCACGCTCCTTCGCGCCAAACGAGCAATGGCACGGCAGCAACGTCGTCTGCCCGCGTTCTCGTAGTCTAATCTGCCGGCCCCCGTGGACTGCCGCTACCGGCAGGCGGGCCTTGACCACTGCCGGCGTGCCATCGTCCATCCATCCAGCAGGGCGGGCAGACAGGGCAGTCCCACTGCTGCATCCGCACAGGCCCGCCCGGCTAGGTTCAGGGCACTTGGTGACAGCTGGAGCCTTGGTGCTGCCCGGGAGTGGATTCCATGGGCTGGGAGCTCTGGCCCTGGCGCAGGGCTCGTCCCACTCGCAGGGCGCGGCCATCATTGAAAAACACGCTGGGCTTATACTGCTGTAACTGACGTGCTGCACCACTTGGGGACGGGAGCTCGGGCTCACCTACCTTATGTATTCGTAGTGCCTGTGGCGCTTGGTCGCTTGCAGCCAGGCACCCGGCCGGCGATGGCGGCGCAGCGCAATGCAGCGCAATGCACAACGCCGCGCAGGCAGCATCGACAGACAGGACGAACCGGCCACGGGACGGGATCCATGAATGGATGGATGGATATGCCTCACCGCTCGGACGCCGCAGTTCATCATGCCGCAGTTTTATGCCGCCGCATCGCCAGCAGAAGCCCGGCAAAATTTTCCGCGCCTCTCATCGCTCCCCGCCCCGTCGTCTGTACGAAGCATGCAAGGCATGCACCCGGGCAGCTAGATTCTCATGCCTGTCCCATGTCCGCGGCCGCGTCTTTGCCCGCAGATGATGGCGACGATAAAGAGTTTTTTGAGTTATAATGATGCTGATTAGCAGCAACGTCCTGTATGGACGTGGCCATGTATGTCCCTGCATGTGTCTCCAGTTTGCGTGCCCCAGCGACCGAGTGCCCCCGACGGACGGGTCATGCACGCATGAGTCGCAAGCAAGCCTCCCTCCAGCCCTGCACAGGGGACAGGACGCACGCAGGCGGGAGGTCAAACCAAGAGGTCGTCGGCCCGAGATGGCTCCCATCAAGCTGCGCACTAATACTATGACAAGCTCGTGCTGGCGCCCGCCTGGCCCTCGAACCCACACCGCTTGCGACCTCCTCTCCAGTCCCCGTCCCAGCCAGACGGCCAGCCAGGGCAGCCATCATCGCCCGGCTGCAGCACTCGCCCACCCAAGGCATTCATTCATGCCCGTCATCGTCGCCCGCCGCCCTGGCCACCACCACCACGCCGGGGGCGCCGCCGGCTCGTGCCCTCGCCAACTCACGCTGCGACTCTGGCTCAGAGAAAATGGATCGCAGAGCATGCACAGCACTAGGCTTCCATGTTGCCTAGCACGCACGTAGTTTGCAGACCGGCAGGGCAGGCCAGCGAGCATCAACGCATCAGAGAATTTCAGCGCCCATTCGGCCCTACTGGAGGCTAATTGGACCGCCCGCCCGCGACGACGCCCCGGTTGGGCCGGCAAGTGACCGCGCCACTGGCCTGGCCTGGCCTGGCAAACGCCCTCAGGCCCCTCACCGCCCGTGACGCCGTCTTATGCCCGTGAGCCAAATCGGGCGCCGCCTGTCGCGCGCGGCCATGATCCCCGTTCGCGTCAAGTTTACTCTGTGGTAGTACAGTCGAGAGTCGCTCACGCCCTGCGTGTTGCAAATCACTTCTCCGAGACGTAATGCACAGGACACGGTGACGATTGCTGTAATGCAAATTTTATCATGTTTTTCCGGCTCTCTAGTACCGTAGTAGCGGTCTGCCTCGAGCCCGTTTCGTCTTTTTGCAAAGCTCTTTTGTGGGGGGGGGCGGCGCGGCGCGCCAACAACACTTTTTCATCAACACCCTTTCCTTGCCCGCGCGGCTTTTGCTGCCATGCCTCCACTCGCCCGCCGCCGCTTTTGTCTTGCCTTCGCCCTGGTCGCGTCGTCCGAGGTCGCCCCCGGCGCGATCCCGTCTTGTCCTCCTAGTACCTAGTGCCGAGTACACACTGCCCACTGCCCGACGTGATGCGTAGCTCCCGTGGGAGATGCCGAAAGAAACTTGAGACCGTGGTATCATTCCAAGCAACGCCTCGCAGTGCCGAAATCAAAAGAAAAAAGACATTAGTGTTGTTTGTTGGGCCGCTGCGCCCCGTCGTATTATGCGAACCGTAGAGTCGCCGGCAGAGAAAAGAGTCGATCGACTACCACCCCTTGGAGTGGTACCCGTTGAGGGCCTCCTTGGAAAAGTACTGGTTCCAGCTGGTCGAGTCGTCCTCCGTGTCCTTCATGCAGGCCTTCTCCGGGTACTGCTTGAGGTTGGCCACGTCGTGCGACGTGTGCCGCCGCTTGAGCACGGCGTTGGCCGTCGACGACTTTTGCTGGCGCTCCCAGAGCAGGTGACGGCGCAGCGACTCGGTCAGCTCCGTCGCCAGCATGTTGCGGCGCGTCGTGCGCGGCGACAGCGCCGCCTGCGCGTGCACGTGGTTGGGCGCCGCGGCGATGGGCTGCGCGCTCGACCGCGGGATCTCGCTGATGGGCTTGAGAGCGTGGTGCTGGTGGTGCCGCATACCCTTCATCATGAGCGGCGCCTCGTCCGAGTCGTTGGGCGAGCCGCCCAGAGAGGGTGCGCTCGGGCCCACGCGGGACCGCGGGATGGCCGACGTCGACTGCGAGGCGTGGTTGCCGAGCGCCTTGGCACGGTCGTTTTGCGCCATCATGATGCTGATGAGCGACGGCCGCGACGTCAGGTTAACCTTGGACGGCACGCGGGCAAAGAGGTTCTCGTCGACGACGCTCGACTTGCCGCTGTCCTCCACCGAGTCCTCCCAGTCCGACGAGTCCTCGTCATCGTCGATGGCGCTCTCGTCCACGTACTCGGCCTCTGTGTCCGAGTCGATGGCCGGGTCGCTCTGGTCAATGGTCCGCGTCATGACATGGTTGCTAAAGGACGCCTGCTTCTTGGCGAAGCCGGCCGGCCGCGGCGAGGCAATGGCGCTCTTGAGCGACGACTCCTCACCCGACGAGCCGCCGAGCGTAAACATGGACTTCTTGGCGGCAACTGCGGCGACGGGTGGCACTGGTGCCTTGAGGTTGTCGACGCTCTGGCCCTGCTCGCTCGAGGAGCACGAGCCGCCCAACGCAAACTTGGCCGGCTGCTTCTTAGGCTGCACGGGCTTGGCGGCGGGCGACGAGCTCGGCTCGGGGATGGCGTCGTGCGTCGCCTGCGGGAACGCCATGACCTGGGCGGCGGCGGGCGAGAAGCCTCGCACCACGTTGGTGGCCCGCGGTCGCGGCGGCGAGGCCTGCGAGTCGTCCGACTGCCGATCTGAGTCCTTGGAAGGGGACTGCGATTCCGTCGTGGTGGAGCCGGACCGCTCAAAGGCGGGTGCAGGGATGGGGAGCTCCTTGCGGGTGGCGGGAGTGAAGGGGGCGGTCGGCGCCGCCGCCTGCTGGGTGGTCGGCGCCGACAGCGGCGCCTTGTCCTTGACGATGGACACAATCATCTTTTCAAAGTCGTCGGAGCTGATGTGGCGGTCGCGCTTGCTGCGGCTGCTGGTAGACGAGTCCATGCGTCGTATCCTGGGGCGGATCTCAAGGGGAGCCGATACTGATGTGAACTCGACGGCCTCGTCCTCGAGCGAGTCGACGCTGCCAGAGAGCTGAGGGACGTCGGGTAACCTCGTCTCTGCGGGGACGTCCTGGGGGAGGGTCTGAGTGGTGGTCGTAGTGGTGGTGACGGGAGCGGCAATCTCGGGCGTTGTGGTGTCGTCACTCTCCACGAGCTGTTCTCTTTGCCACAGGCGCCAGCTCAGGTTTTCTAATCTCCGGCCTTGCTCGACAGAGTCTGCGCAGCGGGAAAACACTGGCGAGTGGTGCGGTCAGCGGCGTCGTCCGGACAAACCCAGGTCAAAAGAAGGCTTACCCGTCCACATGCTATACAGATTCGCAGGGTTGGCCGTGTCGACCTTGTGGATGACGTTGGCGTCGACGGTTAAGACGTGCGTGTCTAACCTATACGGCATGGTGCTGTGAGGAGGAACCAGCCCGATTGTGCGGTTCTCGTGCGTGGCCCGTGTGTTCGTTTGCGTTTGCGAGTGCTCAGGCGATGCCTGCTGCGGAGACGGGGCCGGAGGGGTCGCGCGGGCTGTGTGCTGCTCGACGGTGCTCGGGTGCTCGTGGCAGTCGGCGGGTGCAGGCTGATGTTGTTGATGTGTCGAGAGTCGAGGTGGGAGGCGGCCGGCCGGGGGAGCGATGTAGTTATGAAGGTGTGTGTTGCGTGTGTGTGCGTGGGCGAGAGTGTGTGTGTGTTCAGAGGATGCGAGTCGGGTTGGGTGGGTGGATGGGTGGGATGGGGGGTAGACAAGAACCTTAAGGGAGTCAGTCAGTCAGTCGCCGGTGCGGTGTACGGAGTACGGAGTACAATGCTACCTGTGCTTTGCTGGGCCCAACGAGCAAAGGAAGGAAGGAGAAGCAAGGGCCACGAGGGGGTGTGGGGCGTGGGCGGAGGGGCGTGGGCGTGGACGTGGGCGTGAGCGTGGGCGCGCCGCACAAGAGGGTGCGAGGAGGTACCGGGGTACGTACCCTCAGAGGTGGGCGTCCTGGGCAGGGACGGACGGAGGCGCCGTGCGGGCTCAATTCCAGCCCAAAAGTCCCGCGACCAGGTGACCTGCGCTTGCCCGAGAGGGGCAGCGCCGCCCGCTTGGGGACTGGATGCTGCCAGAAGCCGCCTAGACCTTTCAAAGCAGTCTAGACCCTATCTGGCAGCACATGGCGCGGTTAACCCCCCGGCCTCCGTTTTCGCCCTGCCAGGCTCGGCTGCCCATGTGACGGTCGGTCAACCCCCGCCAGCGCCAGCGGGCTCCGTTTCGGCCCCGTCACCGAGGCCCAAATCGAACCGACCGTCTGCCCCAACGGGCAAGTGGACGCAGGGGTCGGAACGGTGCACCCTGCGTGGCAGGGCAGTCGAGAGCAGTCAGCGCTGCCCGCGACGGGGCGGTCGCCGCGATCTCGACCGCGGAGAGCGGAGAGGGGAGGCGGCGTCACGAGGGTTTGCCCGAAACGGCGGGTCAAGTGAGGGCGAGCGGACGGGCTGCGTTCGTTTGCTCCGTTCCAGGCTCGGCCGGGGCCAACGCTGCAGCATCGTCGGTCGCCAGTCGTCGCTCGACGCCATCACGGGGAGGGGCAGTGGCAATGGCAAGGGCAAGGGCAATGGCAATGGCAATGTCAATGGCTATGGCGACGGCAATGGCAGAGGGGGCGATGATGCCTGGACCGCGGAGAGTCGTCGAGGGGTCGTCGTCGCGCACGCAGTGCGAGTCACGCCCGCCCACGGCAATGTGCGTGCACTGCCCTGCCATGTCCTGTCCTGTCCTGTCCTGTCCCATCCTGCCCTGCCCTGCCCTCGACGCGCGCCCATCACGAATCGCCAAAAGCGACGTCGCCCGCCGAGGCATCGTCGCCGTTTCAGCCTGGTCAATTGGCCGTCGAGCGTCGGCCAGCTCCAACCCCCGCGACGACTCGCGTGCTGCCGGAAGCGCCCTGGGCGAATGGATTGCCGGGGCCGGCGACCCCAGGGCCAATCCCCCAGACAAAAGCCCCCCGTGGGATGGGATGCGGATGCGACGTGCCCTGGTTGGGGGCCGCCCGTGCCAACCAGGGCAGGGCTGCCATGCTGTCAGTGGAGTGGCTCCAGCGCACCGTCCAGCTGACCCGTGACGCATCGCTGACGGGACGGGAGGTGATGCGTCCCCCGGATTCAGGGCAGGGCATGGATGCCAGTCACCGCAGCCAGGCCCAGTGCCAGGTCAGATTGCTGCGCCCGTCCGCCCGCCGCTGAATCGACGCGCAGCTGGCATTGTGGCTATTCGTCCCGCCGGCGGCCCATGCACGAGATCATGGGGGCTGGCAGAGGCCAGGAGGCGACTCGAGGCGATCCCTCCGCATTCGTGCGCTGCGCTCGACAATCCATATACGACGTGCCGCCCAGGCTGGACCAGGCCCACGGTGGCAAAGGGTCCATCCCATACATCCCGTCCGTCCCATGGATGCCGCCCGCGACAGCTGCGCGGCGGCCGGTCACCTGGGCAGCGTGCTGACTTGGGTCTCCAGCGCTGTCCGCCTCGGCGCGTCCAGGCTTGCCGGGGCAGGCCTGGCTTACAAGTGCGCGGGTCATCTGCCGCCGGTCTGCCAGCGCATCCGTCCCATGACCGCCGGTCGGGGTGGAATGCTTTTTCCACGTACGGACAACGCACAGCAATTGAGGAGCTGATGCCTGGTGGACTGCCGCGCCACTCCCATCCGTTCTGTACGGTCGCTCAGACACCGCCAGGCGTCTCAGGCATGCTGTCGCCCGTGGTCGCCTCGCGCGGCCGCGGCGGCTCACTGGGATTGCAGGCGCAGGCAGGGCAGGCACCTCACTGCCATCCCTCCCAAGCCTCCCATGGGGGGCACACCGATGAGACTGATTAGGATGCGACACCGGGGAGCCGGCTGGCTAATTGCGGGCTATTGTCGCAGTCCCGAGAACCTGAACGCCGGGACCGCGGAAGCGTCCCGTCTTGACCGCCGGGTGCTGAGCACTAGCAGGCCGCGCAGGTGCGTTGACAGGTCGACGCGGCGCACATGATGATGCCGGCGACGAGATTGGCCCTGCCACGGCTTGCTGGGTATTATTTTCGTACCGCCATGTTGTGCTTTGCGGTCCGTGGCGCCCGCGTGGTGTCAACGGGGCCCCCGGACAATGTAACGTGCCCCGAGCCCCTGGCATCAAGTCAAGCTCGAGCACCGGCCGCCGGGGTACAGGTGCCCCCGCGAGCCTGCGATGCCCGGGAGCCGACGAACAAAGACGGCGGTCACGACGACGCTCGTGCACGCGAGGGACCAGACGCACGACAGGCACGCAGGCCCCAGACACGGCAGAGGAAAAGAAATGACGATTGGACCTGCCAACGTGGCACTGTAGTATATCGTGTGAAGCGTGTCTGTTGCAAGCTGGACAACTGGGATGTTCGCTGCCGGCACGGTGTCGTAGTTTCATGGTGCAAATGACGCTCAGCTCGGGTCGTCATGCAAGGGCCGAGCGCGCCTGTGCGAGTCGAGTCGCAGAGCCGCCCGAAATCGATGTGTCGCTTCTCGCGGGATTGCCAGACGAAGCAGCAGCCTTGGAAATGCAGATTCGCGCGCCAGAGCAGCCCATCGGTGGCTGGCGGGTGGCGCCGCAGGGATGCGATTCGCGCGGCGGCCGGGCCCCCTTCCCCGGCGCTACTGCGCTAGCTGCCCGGCGTCCTGGGACGGCCCATGTCTGCTGCTGCAGAGAGGGATGCATCGAGGGGAGGGGGAGGGGAGAGACGGCTCTGTCGCAGGTCGTCTGCACAGCTACGACACGACACTACTGAACGGCAATGTAACTTGGCGCAGAGGCGAGCGGGAGGGGAGCACAGCACTGCGCTGCGCTGCAAACCTGAACATCTCAAACAGCAATCTCAGGACATGCGAGCGCTGGGACCCGACGCGACCGTGGCGCGCGTGCCCGAGCCCCAGCCCGCGCCCCGGGCATCAGCCACAGCCAACATCGAGGTCATCTGAGCGTCCTCGGCCAATGGGAAGCGGCCCAGTCCATGCCGCCCGCCGCGCCACCCCGGCGCTTTGGGCGGTGCTTGGATGCGTGCGAGCGAGCGTGCGCGCCCGTGTGCGTTTCCACGCTCACCTTTATCCCCGGTGCCGTCCCGGATCGAGCGCGGCAGACACACACAGACACGTGCATTTCAAATCCCCCAGCTTGCTCCCGACGGCACGTCGATGCTCCGGCCAGCATACGGCCACGGCGCCCGCGCGCATGGCATGGCATCGCATGGCATGGCATGGCATGGCATGGCGTCGCGTCGCATCGCAGGCCCTGCCCGGCCACGAGGGCGAGCCGCGCCCGGCGCGTCGATGCGCTGCAGCAAACACATCGCCGGCAGCCCTCCTCGGCACGCACGCCCACTGGAACGGGTGCCCGTGGCTCGTTTATGACAGATCACCGCGGACGCTGCCCCCGTGTGACCCGGAGCGGCGGGACCCTCGCCCTGTCTCAGGCCCAGCATCAGGGCTCCGGCTTCGTCAGGGGCTTGCTTCTGCCACCTTGTTCCCCCGGGGAAACGCTGCCTTGCCCCATTCAGCCGCCAACGTGGCCGTGTACGAGTAATCGTCTGCATTCTTCCGCGTGTCTGCTCGATGAGGGATCGCTTGTGCCGCCGCACGATCGAGCGAGCTGCGGCATCGCCCGCGTGCTTGGCAGTGGTGGACCGGGGACCTCACACGCTTGAGACGCTCACCTCGCGCGGCCCAGCGCCAGTGCCGTCATGGAGTGCCACGACACGGGCCGCAATGCTTTTCCTTCGTAGTGCCGCCCAAGGGGTTTGCTTTGGCTTTGTTTGCCTCCGTCCCTTCGTACCTGCGTCCACCACCTAGCTTGGCCCGCAAACATGATGCCGTGTCTCAGATCTCGCCTCTTCTCTCCCCCGATGAAGCTCGGGGCGCACCAGCTGCGAAGCCTCCCGCCGCAGAAACGGCCGCCAAGAGGGCTCCCGAGAGACAGCGTGCTCAGGCCCTGGGCAGGCGAACGTCGCAGACGCGCGCGGGCGTCTCGTCATGGCCTGTCGCAAGGGAGGGCCGCCGGCGGCGGACGTGAGGGAGCCCGGCCCCGTCATCTATCACATTGAGCGGTGCGTAATGCGAGATTCAACGCTCTCGCCGCCCGCGGGCGCACCGAGACACAACAGTGACGGCTGCGCTGACGAGCGTGCCCCCCGGGGGGTTTGGACTTGGGGACTTGGACCTGTCGGCGACCGTTGCGGAGGCCGCGCCGAGGCAGCCCCGAGTCTCATGCCGGTCTCGACGGGCGGGCGATGCCAGCGATTCCAGCGATCGCGGCCGCAGACGCCCTGCGCACCGAGCTCCCAGTGGGAACTGCGTGTCAGATCCCCGATAAGCGAGCGTCTTCCCCAGACGGCCGGCTTTGACTCCAGATGAGCGCTGAGACAAAGCAAAGCTGCTAGCGGCGGCGGCGGCGGCGGCGTCTGTCCAGCGCCGCTCCGGGTGCGTCGAGTAAAGGCTGTCTCTCCCGAGTCGCCCTTCGATTGCATTTCTTTTTGAATTCAATTCCCATGCCCCGTCCCGTTCTGGCGCGGCCGCAGACGGCAGGCGAACGGTAGACGAGTATGGCAGCTGTGTCGCCACCGTTTCTGACCTTTTGCCTCCCTGATCGGACGGGACTTTTGTGCTCACCGAGGTGACGGGCAGCGTCCGTCCGGTCTCAGAGCGGCGGTGGTTCACCGTCGTCGATGGCGGCGACCGTTCCGCAGGTACGGATCTTTGTCGTGTTGCCAGTACCGTTGCGTGTGTACCCCCGTACTGTGACTGGCACGGCTCATGTCGTACGTAACACCGCCCAGCATGGCAGGTGCAAAGGGGCCTTGCGGCACCCACGCCGCCTGCATTCTATTCGCCAGCCCTGCCCACGAGAACAATCCAAATTTGCATTCGCACGCACCAACGCCGATGGATTCCGCTCGGAATCCCATCCAGCGTCCCTCACTCCGAGGTTGGCGGGCGCCGAGCGCCGGCTCTGCACTCCCCTGAGCCTCTCGCGGCATGGCGACGTCGTCTCCAGCAGCCCCAACGCATCCCACCCCCGGCCCAGCCCCCGCAATGAGCCGACGCCGACGCTGCGTGCCGCGACCACGCGGACGACGGCGACGACATCCTTGGACGCCTTCGAGAATCTTCACCCCGGATGCCTCTCGCGGCCGGCAGTGGCGACATTGGTCTGGGGCAAGGCGGGGGAGGAGACTTGACAGCTGCCCTCTTTGGACGTCGGATGGACCAGATCAGCCTGGACACGCTCCGCCGGCGCTGGTGCTTGGCCCTCGAGCCGAGTGTAACAACCCATCGCCGCCCCCCGTGCTGACATGCGCTGTGCCGCGAGCTCCACCGAACCCGCTGGCCTGCAAGACTGGCTTCTCCGCGTGACGGCCCACCACGCATGGAACGTAAACTCTGCTGACCGCGCGTGATCCAGGACCCTGAATTGAGCAAGTGGACTGGTCGACAGGCGCAGGCTGCCTCTGGGCCACGTCCAACGGTCTGCGGGCACGACAGGGCACTGCCCAGCTCGATTGCCAGGATGATCCCTTTTCGCGCGATACGAGCGTGTGTAACGGTCAACGTCGGGACCGCCGGTCCGCAGTGCGAGTCACCGCCGTCTTGACGACAGACGGCAAACGACAAATAACGCCTCTGCTCTGCCACGAATCAAGAGGGCTACAATTGTCGGGCTCGGGTCTGAACCCCGAGACCGTCCGAGGACCCTGAGCCGCTCCCGCACGCCGGCTCCGCCTGCCAATTGCCATTCAGCCACGGCCGCCGTCGAAGAGCATCGAGCGGGCCCCACAGTCGCCGAGGACCCCGACGGTGGGCCAGGGTCGTCGCCGCGAGGTAAACGGCAGAACGGCCGGTAAATCAATTTGCCTGAGCGCGGGTCTTGAACATCACGAACAGAGGCATCACGGCACGGCACTCGCACTGAGGCCTCGAGTGAGGCTTCGAGCGAGGCGTCGGGCGTCGCGTCGAGCGCTCTCGAATGCTGACGCCCGTTCCCTCGGTCGGTGTCATTCAGCGCACTCACTCGACAGTCGACACTCCCCTCATCCAGGCGACGCTTTACCCGCACGGCTGCGCGGACTGGCGGGACTGATGCCGTCGGTTAATATCAACCTCACCACGGTCACGTATAATGCCCAAGTCCCGAGGGCCCGCGTCGAGTCAGCCTCCAGATCAAATCCTGACGGCCCGACGGGCAGCGCCCCGCCGCTCGGCCAAATGGTGGTCCCAAGTCTGCGGATACCAGGCAAGCGCCGGCATGCAAACTCCAGTTTAAACAATGGACCCGCGATTTACTTGCACGAATTTATCGCCATGATATTATTCTGGTCGAGAATTCGGCAAATGCCATGCTGCGTCTGCTAGCCCGACGCCGCTGCCCTTTGTTCGTCTGGAACGTCGCGCATGGTGCTAGTCTGCTGGGCACGCTCTCGCCACGGAGCCTTGCTGCGCGTCTTTGAGTCGACCGTGTTCGGGACGGTCCAGAGCGACGTTGCGCGACCGCAGTCTGATGACGGACGACAGCCTCCCACATCGTAGCCACCCAGTCCTCCCTTGGCGAGGTCGAGGCGTCAGGGCGCTGCGTGTCAAGGGATCACCACACCACCAGCTCTCCCTGCAGCGCGCCTCCCGCACGACGTGCGCTCGCCACAAAGAGCTCGACGCAGGGTCCATCCCCTTTGACCGAGCCCCCTTTTGTCGCCGCACTCCGCGTCCGTGTGCGCATCACGTGTCCCCATGGAGTACGTCGGACGCAAGGACGTGCCGCGAGGCAACGGACGTTGCACCCACGTGGGCGCGTCCCTGCTTGCATCCGAATGACACCCGCTCCGGCAACACTTGCCTCTGGCTGCGTCTGCCAAAACGATGCCGCGCTGACACGGACGGGGTCGACGTCGCCGGGTCATGTGTCGGCCGCTTCGCTCGTGATGCTGCGCCGTATGTCTCAAATTGGTCGCTCGAATTCGTCAATCAGCTCCGGTACCTGAATGACGTCGCACCCGCCTATCCAGATGCCTGGCGACGTCGGACGCGCCCGCGCACAAGGTGGCCAAGTGACCACGTACGTGGCACCGCACCACAAGGCTGACGCCGTTTGCGATGCCCGTGGCTCAAGTCACCACGGTCGTCTTGACGTTTGGCCCCCACGCTCGCCTCGAGAGGACGACGAGCGGCTCACCGACGTTGCATGCGTGCCAGCGGCTTACTGCTAGCATCAGATGACGCCTCAGCTCCGGCTCGCAGGCGCCCGGCGCCACATGGCTCCCGTCTTGCCGCGCAGCCCCCAAAGACGCCGCGTCCCGTGCACGTTATTTTTGTCGTCTCCTTTGAGCGCTCGTCTCAAGCGATGCTGGGGCCACGACGCCCGGCTTGCTACAGCCCGCACGGCTGGTACCGTACGTCTGGTCACACCGACATCGCTGCGTCCTGCAATTTGGCGACGCGGCTGAGCGTGGGGGTGCCTCTACAAAGCAGAGCACTGCGTGATATCTCGTCGGAGGCTCGCCGGTCACCGGCGATCCCTTGGGGGCGTCGACCTGAATCACCTCAGGAACGCGACCGGCGGCCAATGGCGGCAGATGGACGGACCCTGTCGCCGTGGATCCTGGAATGGCAACCGGCTACGTACGATGCCGTCGCCGCCGTCGCCGCCGTCGCCGCAGTTGCGTGATGAACTTGATGGCTGACGTTTGCTCCGACAGCTGGCGCCGCCACGGCGAGTCGCGCGATGCAGAGCCGGCGTACTTCGTATGGGCCCCTGCGTCCGACACAGTTGACGTGCATGCCGCCGGGCGTCGATTTGATCGAACAATTATTCTGATTTATCGTGGCCGCGAGTATCCGTGGCTGACGGCTCACCGCTTCCAGAGCTGGCAGCAAGACAAAGCGATGTGGCGGACCGGGCAGCGTTCGGGAGGAAGGACTTGTTGACGGGCGTGGGCTGCCTTGACTGCTGGCATGCCGTTTTCCTGGCCTCACGACATACGATAGACCTGGCATCGATCGCGCATATGCACAAAGGCTCATCGGTAGATCTCGGCCGCTCGCATGAGACGCGGGAAAGCTCCAGGGTATGCAGGCGGGTATCGCGAGGTCGTCGAGCTGGTGTACGCCCGCGGGTATGTGGGCATTCGTTAAGCAACATGCGTCTCACGGTACGAGCCTACCACAGACTCGAACGTGCCGCGGCGATTGCCTCACAACACGCACGTATCCGATCGCACATTGTCCCGGAGCACCCCAGAGGCGGGTGACGACGGGAGCCGAATCGCACTTATATGCCAGCCTACCCTACACCCAGTATAGGTTTGGCTGACATCTTGATCCTGCCAGACTGATTGCACAAGCGGACTCGCATACGACAACGCTTCTATTATAATCACTCGGTCTGCTACAAGCGGTATCAGTATGGATGAAAGACAGTCGTCTTGCTTGCATGGCCGCCTGCATGGCCGCGACTTCGGGTAGCCAGTCCTGTCAACACAGATGGAGCCAGACCTCGCATGAAAACGCCAAGTGCAAAGTAGGCACCCTGCATTTACAGAGCGGCATCGTGCCCGGATCATCTATTTTCGGACCGCCCCTAGGAGAGGCCGCTGCAGGAACACGGAATAGCTGGCCACCAGAGAGGCAACACGACGGAGAGCCCAACGGCTGACCAGTCTCGGCAGTTGGACTGTTGCACAGCAGGATTGAAGGCTCCAGGCTGCCGCCCGAAGTGCCTGATTCGTGAGGGCCCCCCATTCCCCTATCCGAATGGATCCGTGGCTTCTTCATTCGCGCTCTGCTCGTCGTCCATTTGAGAGCTGGCCGGCTGCTGGTCCGTGCTAGAGACTCGGCGACCAACACCGCGACGCCGCGCAATAATTCGAACCGACCAACACGTCCTCGCCATTCCACTGCCCAGAGAATTTACGCGCGCGAGACCCGGCTCAGTCGGCTGGCACGGGGTAGCAACTGGCGGAGGTGAGCCCGGCGACGATGTGACCGTCAAACTGCCACCATCCTCTGACGCTTCCGCGAGTTGACCACTGCACGATGCCGCTGTTCGCCGTCGGCAGGCGCATACAGCGCTTGTATCTCGTTTCCGTCGTCGCCGTCTTCGTCATAGGCCTCATCTCCCTCATCCAGTACTCGCCCGACGTGGTGCGCCCGTCAGGATGGATTCGCAAACGCCCTGACCCGCGGCCGCCTCAGGCCAACCACCCCATCGATCGTCTGATGCGCGAGTCCAGCGCCCACTTCGAGGACCTGCTGGCGAAAAGGTCCAACACTGTCGAGGAGGCCGCAGCCCGGTACCGCGAGCGGCGCGGCCGTCACCCGCCGCCCGGGTTTGACGTGTGGTTCTCACAGGCCCAGGCAGACGGGGCCATCGTCGTGGAGGAGTTTTTCGACCGCATTCACCACGACCTCAACCCCTTCTGGGCTCTCGACCCCAAAAAGCTGCGGGCGATGACCAGGAAGCAGCCACAGGTGATTCGTGTGCGCAGCGGCAACGTCAGTTTCGAGACGGACAACCCCAACCGGCCGCAGTACATCCAGCTGTGGACGGCGCTGCTCAAGGAGACGGAGCCTCACCTGCCCGACCTCGACATGGTGGTCAACGTCCTCGACGAGAGCCGCATCCTAGTGCCGTGGGAAAAGATAAACGAATACGTGGCCGAGGAGCGGCTCAAGAGGAGAATCGCCGATCCCAAGGAGGTCAAGACGCGGTACAGCGGGCTGGACGGCGATGGCGAGCACGACGTCTACGACCCCGGCTGGGTAACCGACGATGCCAACAAGTACTGGGACTACCTGCGGGCGACGTGTCCGCCCGACAGCCCTGCGCGGAGCCTCAACAGCTTGGCGTCGTTTGACGTGCCCGTCGAGTATCCGGACGAGGCGATGCCGTATGCGCCCGAGGGCTTCGTCGAGAACGCCACCGAGGCCCGAGACCCGTGCCTGCAGCCGCACCTGCGCGGGATGCACGGGACGTTTATCGAGAGCATCAGCATGTCGACGACGCGCGAGCTGCTGCCCATGTTTGCGGGTTGCAAGCTCCCGCAGAATAACGAGATACTGGTGCCGGGGGCCATGTACCTCTCGGGCGGCGACTTCTACTCGGGCGGCGAGGATCACGGGCCGGCGTGGGGCCGCAAGAAGACGGGCCTGATATGGCGCGGCACGGCGTCGGGCGGCCGGAACAAAGTGGATAACTGGTGGCACTTTCACCGGCACCGGTTCGTCCAGATGATGAACGCCAGCACGGTCGAGGCGGTGGAGCGCGGGGACGGGGAAAAGGGCCCGACGTTTGGACTGTGGCAGGTTCCGGCGCACCTCAAGGGCAGGCTGGGCCGGTGGCTGGCGTCGTTTGCCGACGTCGCGTTTGTCAACCTCGAGTGCTTCCCGAGCGTGCAGGAGGAGGTGGGGTTTGGGCCGACCAGGCACACGGAGACGAGCCGGCGGTGCGCTTACACGTCGCCGTACATGGCCATCAAGGACAGCACGCCGATGAAGCAGCAGTACGGGTACAAATTCCTGCCGGACGTGGACGGCAACTCGTTTAGCGGGCGGTGGAGGGCGTTTCTGCTATCGACGAGCCTGCCGCTCAAGGCCACCATCTACGCCGAGTGGCACGACGACCGGTTCGCGCCGTGGGTGCACTACGTGCCGTTTGACAACTCGTACGCCGACATCTACGCCGTCATGGACTACTTTTTGACGCACGACGAGGCGGCCGCGAAGATTGCGGCCGAGGGCAAGCAGTGGGCGGAGAAGGTGTACCGGCGCGCCGACATGAAGCTGTACATGTGGCGGCTGCTGCTCGAGTACGCGCGGGTCGTCGACGATGAGAGGGACCTGCTGGCGTACGTATGATGCCGAGGGCGACTGCGTAGTGGCGCGCCTACATGGGGGCTACATGCCGATGAAGACGCGGAATAATCCCAGGAACGGGGCGACGGACTATATACGTCCGTGGACGGCGACGCGGTGGCCGTCGTCGGAGAGGGTGTTGACGATGGCGTCGATGTCGTCGATGTCGTCGCCCAGGCAGGCGATTGCGTATGTAAGCAAGAGCACAGTACTGTAGCAACGGCGATTGACGAGTAATAATAATGTGCCATCCTGGACGGCAGGCTAGTCTCGGTGTAATCTGTGGAGCGTCGGTCAGATCTCGGCGGCCGGCGTCGAGGCGGCAGCTCGGTGAAGAGATGCTCGGTCGACACGTGCGATCAAGGGGACCAAGGTCAGACGCCGTGCTCGTGAGCCCGAGGCTGCGGTGCTGGCGCCGGCGCACGGGTCATGCCCAAAGGGTGCAAAGAGCCGGACGAGGCAGATGAGGAGAGTCCAAAGGGTTTGCAGCCGCGGCTGGATGACAGGCGACGCTCCACACGGGACGGGCAATTTCCCCGGTGAGACGGGACCCCGCAACCACCAACACCACCAACCCAGGAGGAGCACGCCAGCACATGTGACTCGGCGCCGAGGCGAGGCGTCGCACAGGATGGAGGAGTCGTCGCTGCAGTAGCGCACCTTGGCTGCGACGCGTCGATAGAGTTGCGTCGGGTGGCGGCGGGCGCAGGCGTGTTGTGTTGGCCGGGGACGCGCAGCGTAGTGCAGGGCCGTTGTTGTCTGTTGGCCCGCCTTGGGAGTTGAAGCCAACGTTCACGCAAGTGCCGCGCAGCTCGTTTGTACGTAGGCACGTCGCAGTGGTCGGGTGCGAGTAATTTGCAGTCATGCGCTGCTGCTGCTGCTGCTGGCGGCGGGTGTCTTCTGCGGTGGTGACATGACATGGATGGACGGACAAGAGCAGGGCCAGCCGCAGACGGACCGTCAAAGGCGCGGCGGCGGCGGTGGATCTGTGTGGTCCGCCCGGCGCGTGAGCCGGCCTGTGCCTTTTCGGCGCATGCGAGGTTATTGCATTGTGGCGGCGACGCAGGCGACAGCCGAGACTGGCCGCCAAGACGCGCTGAGAGGCGATTGAGACACGGTTCGGGCGCGCAGCTGGGCAGAGGCAGAGGCAGACGCCGACGTGTCCATTGTCGCGCTCCTTGGCGGGTTGGCGAGGTGCGCGTGGCGCCGTGGGCTGAGGCAGCAGCCGCGACGAGGGCGAGGAGAGGAGGGCCTTTGAACGAAGCCGAAGCGTCAGTACGAGTACTTGACGTGCGAGAGGTGCGTTAAAGCCTGGCCTGGCCTGGCCTGCTTTCGCCTGCCTGGCCGCCGGCAGCGAATGATCCTGGTCACGATGGGCGATGGGCGATGGGCCATGGGCGCGCGATGGGCCATGATGGGGCGGATGGGGCACGAGCCGTGCGGTTTGGGTTTGTTGGGAGAGGGGGAGGGAGTGGCGCGGGTCCATTGCGAGGCCGCGCGCCCAATGAAGCCGCGGCGCTGACAGGGCCCCCCTGATATGATGGCATTGATCGCTGTGCCGCTCGCTGGAGAGCGACCACGGCGCTCTGTCGTCCGCCGGGCAGCGCGGGCAGCCAAGGTACCTGCGCCGACTCGACTCGCACGCGGCGTGACACACATGGCCGGGGGCACGCACGTTGCCGTTTGTTGGGAGGCGACGGCAGCCTCGACGACGGGGCGGGCGGGCAAGAAGCGGCCAGAATGCAGGAATATCGCCATCATCCATCTGCCTCGGCCGTCTGCCCGCCCGCCCTCCTCCACTCGAGGCACGTCGACAATCAGCACGCGGCTCGGCCGCTGCAGCTCCGTGCCGCGGCGACGATTTTTTTGCGCGTCGGGTGTGGGGAGAGGCTGGGGCACCGCTGCTGCAAGCCCGCGACCCCTGTAGGCGAAGCGCCCGGTAGCGCGAAATGGGCGGGCGGGGTGG